GAGCCCAGGAGGGTGTAATCTCTTGATGCTTATATGTAACTTTGTTGAAGGTAGTAGCAGTTACATGTCTGCATCAAAAGGAGAGTATAAACACGCACCAGTGCTTGAAATACCTTTTAAAAATGAGACAATTATCTTTGAAATAACCACTACTGGGGGGCGGGAGGGATGTTACCATGTGTATGTCATTCTGTAATAAAGGTCCTGTGGTAAAGTAGTTAGAAAGCAAGACATTTTTAGTAATAATGGGCCAAAAAAGTATTTAAGATGCAGCAAGATGCATGTGTTGTCATACTGAGAATAGTCTTGCAGTACCTTTAAAAATAAAAACCCAAAAAAAACCCCCACAACCCTTTTCCCCTTCTGCTGTGCTACTCAAGTAACAAAAGTTTGGCCTATGATACTTATTGTAGTTCATGTTCATGGGAAACTGTAAAAAGTCTGCTTTTTATTTATCTTCGCGGTCTGTATCACATGCTGTTTATTAAAAAACTACTTTTGTTTGGTTTTTATCACACTTTGAGTGTTAATGTATATACTAACAACTAAATTAAAACAATATGGTTGGTACACTTGTGAATTCTGAAGTGAGAACTTAAGGAATTTTCAGTCTTGGAGGTGTGATTTGGTGTTGCAGCTCTGCTTTCGAAAAAGGCTAGAAGAAAGATAGAAATTGCGTACATCGGTTAACTTGTGTGTGGGGAACAAATAGAATTTGCATTATTTACTGGTGGGAGGTCCTAGATGCACGTGGTATTCATTCTTGTACATATTGATCTTCAAAATAAGTAACTTATTTTAGATGTAGGCTGTTAAAGTTGTGATGAGAGGAGATGTTATTGAAGTGTTTCAGCTGGATGGTTTTAAAGCCTCTGCTAAATCAATGTTTTGTTTTTTGAAAAATAGCCTTAATGCTTTCATTACCAAAACTATATTTTAAACAAACTAGGTTGTATCTTTGTATCCAATACTAGTTTTAAAAGAGTGAGAAACATATTTGGGAAATTACTCACTGGCAGGTATAAGAACATGGGGCTGCAATGGAATTGCTTCTGTGGACATGTTGGTCATTTTGGACTTCAGTTGCTAACAAACTGCTATCGTGGGAGGGATTTGAGCTCTCTTGCTGAGAATTTCACTTTTTTGGAGGGATCGGGGTTTTTAATCAGGTCACTTCTACACATCTTTGTCCCCAGTAAGCTTTAAATTTTGTACGCTGGTCAATTCTGTTTCAGATCACCACTGCCTAGTTTTGAAAAGGGCTATGTTCCAGCAGGTGCTCAGTCTGCACAGGACTTGAACTCTGTAATAAAAGGTGGACATCATTATCCTTACACTTACTTTGAAGCTCAAGCTGAGCTCTAGTCTGGAGAGAGTGAATCAAAGTATGGCTAGTGATTTTGAAGTAGCTAGTTCAGTAACCTGAACTAGCAGATTAAACTTCTGTTTATTACAGTGGATGGTGAGTTTTACCTTTTCTAGTAACTATGAAATGGTTATGAGTGGTTACTACCTTGTTTTAAATGCACAGGATGGTTCAGGGAAAGGGGATCATCAGTTCTTGTTCAAATGCAAATTTTAGACTCTACTGCTGTTACCACAGTGTGATTTTTATGGTAGTTCTAAGTCTTGATCCCTAAAGCATCAAAAAATTACGGAAAACTTGCAAAATAATGCTGGTGAAACAGAAGAATGATTTGCAATGTGGGCAGTTTGCTTTAGCACCGAAATCTCAATGAGCCCTTCCTGATTTTATGCTTGGAAATCAGTCTGGTTTCCAACCTGCATTGGAAAGACTTGATCCAAAATCTGAACCCATCTAACAAAAAAAGCAGGAGAACTGATGCTAGACAGGATACCTCAGATAGCCTCCTATATGTCCTTTTAAACACCAACAAATCTACTGTCAGCAAAGGTAGATGAGCTATACTTACTGCTTTCATTGAAGAAAGTGTACTCCATTCTTCTTCTTTTGGTAAGGATATGTCCCTGCTAATTGAAATGAGCATCATCTGTGTTGCCCATTTAAACAATAAGGTGAATATCACGCAGGCTTTTCTATATTTCCAGTTGGAATGGCTTCTGGGTGATTAAAACCTGACCTAGAGCTGTCTGAACATCCCAAGCACATGGTGGTTTAGAAAATGACTCATCTAGACTTTTCTGTCTAAAGCATTGATGACACTGTTTGATGCCCATGACTTTGAACTGGATCTGCAGCTTCAAAGGGGATCCTCCTCAGATGTTTTTATTTCACTCAAAGTCTTGTCTTTTTATCTGACATAGGTGGTGTTGGGCTGTGCTGCTTTGTGTGGAGAAGAAATCAATCAAAAGGTACAGAAGAGGTGGTGTGCTTTATGTGAAAGTGACTTGGTTACCCTTGTTCTTTCTCACCGAGCAGGACTGAATTCAAAGGAAAGGGTTTGGTTTTGTGTGTTTTTGTTGGGTTTTTTCTTTTTCCCTTGGCAAATTATGGATTGTCAGTTCCCATTACTGCCCTCTGCTGGGAACTGGGGAAAGTGCGCCCCCCCTTTTTTGGAATAGTTACATGGAAAACTTTTTTGGTGAATAGAGGGAGAAATCTGTTGGCATCCACCCATTTGGGTGGCTATAGTGAATTTATGAGAACTTGAACACAAGTTGTCCTGGAGAAACCTCAGCTCCTATGGCTGGAATAAACAGCAGAGAACAAACTGAACTGGGATGCCAGGATCTTGTTTGATTGGTAATTTGGCTCAGGAGATAATAGATATGCCACATCTATTCAATTTCTGAGGGCTCAGCAGTGTGTCTTCAAAAGGATACCTTTACTTATATTCATGCTGCTTACCATCAAACCTGTGCGATCATAGCAGGAAGCTCTTTCTGTGTGGCTGTAACCAAATCAGATCACCCTAAAGACACGTTTCCAACTTTCAGGACAAAGGCTAAAGGTTGGACTTACTCTGTTTATAAAATCCTATCTCAACTTCCAGCTAATGAATAAAACTGAAGCCAGAAGCAGGGTATAATTTTTCTACTCATCAGTGGAGCAACAACATTAGGGATGTCATGGGTTGTCTGCTAATTGAAAGCTCGATCTTAAAATTAGGTAACTTGAGGCTAAGCCAGAGCGCAATAGCTCAATGAATGAAATGCTTGGTAAAATTCTGTGGTCTCTTTTAAGTCATCAAACTAAGTGACTGTAATGGTGTCCCTTGTGACTTCAAAATAAATGACTTATTTTGAAAAATAAGATGCTGTTTGAAATATTCTGCTTTGTGGGGAAATAACTTACTGCTCATTACTATGGCGTAAAAGAAAAAAGTAACGACGAAGCGAGCAAAAAGGGGATTCTCTTGTGCTTTCAAAATTTTCCAAATTTGTAAAGGGGAAAGTTGCTTATTTTAGTTCTTCGACCCTTATTTTATATTGATATATTAGATGCTGTCAGATGCTTTACAAGCCCTGGACAAAGCCTCTGTATGAAAATGTGCTGGAGAAGTTCTCTGCGCCTATATTGGCAGCGGTGGGATAACAGTATGGGTATAAATCGAGGGATAAAGTAAAGGTTTA